GAGGCATACTGTGGGCCATATTCTCATGTCTGATGACACTATCTCAACCCTATTTCAGAGAGCGTATACAGTTAGGTTACTATAGTAATAATACATGTATTAAAACACAGGTAAGAATTGCAATTTCTCACAATTTCACGTGTTTTTGTATGTTTGCAACCATACTTTTTGGTTGGCTATTCTTTTCTTTTTTTTGAATCTCAGGAGGGGATATTTGTACAGGCCATCCCCTCCTCCTTCAAGAGCGGGGGGGATGCATCCTTCCCATCCCCCCCGGGATTACGGGATTAAGTTTAAACTACTTTTTTCTCACAGCATTATCACGATACCATGTTACATAATCAAATAACCAATATATGCATTTATAAATGTACATATTTTAGCTGAAAGGTTTTCTGCATGAATGTATCTCCAATTATATAATGGAAGTCAATGGAGAAACATATTTAACATTAGGAATTTCCCAATTATGAATCTAATCAATCAATGAATCAATCTAATGATAAAGCCTATAAATTAAGTTATCATTGCCAATTCAAAATTTTTTTTAGGAAAATTGACTGATATATGACAAATTGTCATTTTTTTACAAAGATTTCTTATATATTGACTTTATATTGATTATATCGAAAAGCACAGCTGGGCCCTTCTTCTAATTCTATCTCATAATGTAAATACTATTTGTAATAGGCAGTTCAACTATAATGTAACAATTCCATTCTAATCACAGCATATGCGATGATCATATATAATCTATAATTATGTATATATCTTACATTATAGATATGTTCATGCATATATTTATTGTTGTAGCTTTCAAAATGTATTTGTTTCATTCCATTGTATTTCAGATACAGAGATAGACTGGAGAGCTTACATGCAGGAAGTGGAAGGTGTTATCAATGGCACATATGACTATACACAATTAAAAGGAGATACTGGACCTTTAGTGTAATCTTAGATATTATAAACACAGGGGTAGAAATTAACTTTTGAACACGGGAGTCCAACGGACTCCCTGCCCTCAAAAAGAGGTAGTCCGCAGCAAAATGAGGGAATCCGCAGTCTGGGGTTCAAAATTAAAGATATTAACAATAACGCATGTGCTTATCTTTAAGATTCATGTGGTTGCACGTCTGCCAAATTTTCTTCAGACATTAGCTGAAAAAATATGGTAATTCTGCGAGGCTAGTTTAAGTTAGTATGGCAGAATTTTCAGGGAGTTGCATGGACTCCTGCATATATCAAATCAGGGAGTTCGACAGTAAATCAGGGAGTATTTGACTCCGGACTTCCGTTAATTTCGCACCCTGTAAACATATGTTTATCGGATAAATGATTTGTATTTATGCATATCATATTTGCATAAATACAAATAATATATCTCATAAAATCTAAGAATCTTGAATCTTTAACCTTATAAATTAAATAAGTTATATTAATATGCTAAAGAAACAATACACTATGTATAATAAAGCCTCACTAAAGTTTAAACTTTTTTTTATAGAATGAGCTGTAGAGTTTACTATATCAAATTCTATGACCATGGTTAGATATATTTAAGATTTATTAGTTTCGGTCATTGCCATTTATTATTGAGAAAGCTTTATTCTGGCATGCTTCTTTTCTCTTTCAGTTACCCAGCTGGGTTTGTATACATATATGGTGCTCTATACTACATAACCGACCATGGATCCAACATCCGGCTTGGGCAGTATATATTTATGGGATTGTACATGCTCACAGTTGTTACTGTATTTAGCATATATAGGAAGGCAGAAAAGGTATTAATAAAAGTTATGAATCAAATATTTAATGAAGTAATAACAAATTTCACAAGATTTGGAAGAATTGAAATTACTACGTTACCATATATGTTTATACATAAAACAGATACCTTGCTAGGTTATCATATAAATTTATGAATTGAAATTTTAACCCTATTGTTACGTTAAGTTGCATAACGTATTCTAATTTCAGGTGCCACCATATGTATTCTTCTTCATGTGCTGCGCCTCATATAGAATCCATTCTATCTACATTCTGCGGCTGTTTAATGACCCTGTAGCAATGACATTTCTGTACCTGGCCATTTTGTTGTTCTTAAAAAATCGATGGACAACTGGCTGCATATTCTTCAGGTACGACTAATCATATTATCAAGAGCTAATAAATACCTAAATAGGTATTTATTAGCTCTTGATATTATATGTATACTTCATCAAAAGCACATAATCTGCTTTGTTCCTTATGTGCTCTTGACTTTATGTAGTATAATATCAAGGGTAGAAATTAACTTTTGATCGTGGAAGTCCAATGGATTCCGCACTCTCAAAAGGACAGAGTCCCTAACAAATTGCGGGAATGTGCAGTTCAAATTTCAAAAATGGCAATGTCACTAGATATTGTTGAAATTCTTGAATTTTCACACCTGAAGAGATAGAGTGTAATGGTAAGGGTTAAAAGAACAGAATTTAAATGAGTAAGCAACGGTCCATTTTCCACCCTGTAGTAGGGGAATTCAGGCTAGTGATCACAGGCATTTTTGAGACATTTGCTGAAAAAAGGTAATTCATTAAGGTCGTGCTCCAGAACGAATTGGTATAGCAAAACTCAAGAAGCCACAGGGAGTCTGACAGTTAATCAGGGAGTATTTGACTCCAGATTCGCATTAATTTGAAACCCTGTACTATAGTGGATTCTATACTGGGTAACAGCTGAAGTAAGAGAAATTTGTATTATTATTATTATTATTATTATATAATTTCGAATAATACATATATGCTAAAACAAAAGAAGGTACTTACCTGTACTTGAATTTAAATACCCGATTTCTGGCTGTGAATTATTACACATTTCTTATGTTCTTCTAGCTTGGCTGTATCAGTGAAGATGAACATACTGCTGTTTGCACCTGCATTGTTCCTGCTTCTCTTGGCTACCCAAGGGATTGTTGGAGCTTTCCTCAACATTGCACTGTGTGCATTAATTCAGGTATATTAATTTTGTAAAAACTATACTATGCCTGGTTTTATATATATATATATTAATGTAATATAAAATTATAAAAGTAATTTTAGATTGAAATCTATATGAAAATGAAATATACAATTTCAATTGAGTGCCACATTTTGTACTCGATTCAACCATCAAGGTAAACATTTTTTAACACTGGTCCTGCTTGATATAGCTTGGTCTAATTTGCATTTTGAATTACACAATCAGCTGAGTATTTAAATATGTAATTGGTCTACTTGCAGTTTCTGCTGGCTCTGCCTTTCCTGCTAGCGAACCCATGGGGTTACATCATCATGTCTTTTGACTTTGGCCGTCAGTTCTTCTACATTTGGACTGTCAACTGGCGCTGTGTGTCTGAGGAGATGTTTCTGAATCGATACTTTCAAGTTGCACTTTTAGTTGGCCATCTAACTTTTCTGAGCACTTTTGCTGCAAGACACTGGGTGAGGTAATGCAAACACTTTCCTTATTACTTAACATGTAAGCATAACTGTTTTAATGTATCGTTTAGTGTTTGATTTCTGATGTAAACATCACAATTGTGCATTTTTATCTAGCTTCCATTTCATCAATGAGTAATCATGCTCCAGCACTAGAACTCCAGTACGAGGTAATGTAGTGATAATAAGTCTACTGAAGTTTGTGAAGTGTGAATCGCTTTAATAAAATTGACTAAAGTTTCAATTATGAATTTCTTTAGTTGCCTTGGCGGATGGAAGGCTCTCTTGCAGACGAAGGGGTCGAAAAAACTGCTAAATGCTAATGGTATCCTTTGTATAAGTGAATACATTCTGTTTCTATATTTTTGAGTCCTTTCTTTGTATCATTTCTATAATAGTGATTCAGGGGTAGAAATTAACTTTTGAACACGGGAGTCCAACGGACTCCCTACCCTCAGTCCGCAGCAAAATGAGGGAGTCTTCAGTCTGAGGTTCAAAATTAAAGATACGTGTGCTTATTTTTAAGATTCATGCGGTTGCACGTCTGCCAAATTTTCTTTGGACATTAGCTGAAAAAATACGGTAATTCCGCAAGGCCGTGCTCTAGAACGAACTAGTTAGTATAGCAGAATTTTCAGGGAGTCACACGGACTCCTCCACGGACAGTAAATCAGGGAATATTTGACTCCGGACTCCCGTTAATTTTGCACCCTGGTGATTGTTATGTAAGATTTTGGTTCTATGGCTGTACTAAATATCACTTTATTCTCTTCATTCAAATCTCTATTCCTGTTATTTTATGTTACATCGCTTAACAGTTTGAACAGATATTTTAACGCTACTGTTCACTTCTAATTTGCTTGGAATAGCATTTAGCAGATCTCTTCATTATCAGTTTTATGTGTGGTACTATCACACATTGCCATACCTTCTGTGGAGTGCCAGGCTTCCGACAGTACTGCGGTAAGGTTAATAGTTGGCTTGTTACATGTATTGGTGTGTACCTTTCAGTTACTGTAGAGGTGCAAGTTAACACAGTTGCCTGCTGACTTTCTTTAGAGCTCGGTCTCATTAGTTTAGCAGCTGTTTCTCATAATTATCTACTTATACATTCTGTTTTTCTTCCAAACTAACTCATTTTAAATGAGTTAATCTAATAGATCAAGCAAACGTGAAATTCATTAGATGAAACTGTATGTCCATATTTTTCTATAATAGCTTGGTATTGATAAACAAGCAGTCATTGTGTGAAGCTATGTTGTCTTTTCAGAATATTCATGCTTGGAGTGGTGGAGTTGTGTTGGAACACGTATCCGTCAACTGTTAGCAGTAGTTTAGCACTGCATGCCTGCCACGTCATTATTATCGGTGCCTTACTTCTGAGAGGACGTGAGAGCGATAAACTACATATAAAAAAGCAGTTTTAATAGGAGTACATAGTTTCTATGAGCTGTTTATGAAACAGGTTTTCTACGATGTGACTCAGTGTGTTTTGGTTCAGAGCAAAATAAAAGTGGTTCTATCAATTGTAGTTTTAGTTGGTTTCTACTGGATGTCCGTTATATTAAATAAAGTAATGACAATGCTGTGTAATTATCTACATTTTGTATAGTATTTCAAATATCTAACATTTAGAATCTATTTTGACTAAACAATTTCTTGAATTTTTCGCCACGGCAATTTCTTGTTGTTCAAAACATCATGAACATTGAAACTGAGAAACACAGTTCTTGATATTTATTCTTATATAATTTCCAAGCACTTGACTACCAGAGATGGAAAGAGAATTTATGCACCTGGCATTTTAGATACATCCACCACAATCCCTTGTAGGCAAGCCTAATACCAAATAAAATATTCAAGATGCTCCGTAAATAAACTGCTTGAAACAGTTTGATATTAGCCCAGTTATTATTATCAAATATTTAACAATCTGCTTGCCACTGATACCATAACTACACACTGAACCCAATAACACATGTACTATTTATTACAAAATCTACCAATCCAGATAAGATACATTCACTGTATATTTCCATACAATACCATAACCACGTTGACTTCAAATTACATGCGTATATGTTTAACAAGCCCTTGCATATCTAAAGACAGATTTGAGCCAATGTGAAAACAAATAGCCCTTTGTTTCCCTTTGTTTTGTTTTTTACATGGAATTTACATTGGTGTTTCAGTATGTCACATATTTTCTATTGTTCTTTACAAATACTCGTGGGTTATTTCACCTCACCTAGAAATGCACTATTACATTGTGCTTTTAGAAGTATTGCTTTTTCGATTGATATTCTATGTCTGTGTCAGGGTCTATATCTATGTATAAAATCTAATTACGACTGAACGTGATGGTAAGAAATGACAACTGATTCTGCGACGTTTGATATAATAGTAACCGCATCAAGATTGACCGCATCTGACTTCCATTAACAGCAAGAGTAGATAATATAACATATAACATAATGTTATTATCTACTCTTGTTAACAGTCATAGTACAATCGTAATCATTCCAAACAGTCAACGATACCACAATTAGTGACAAGGTATCCTGAAAACCATCACTGCTCTAAAGGGCCACTCACTCCCCCTAGGGTCTTTGTAAAATAAATTCACCAAGATCCTAATCCTTAACAATTTCACCAGCCCAAATAGAAAAATATAATTATAATCAGATAGTGAAATCTACATTATTCAATAACAAGATATCTCACCTGATATGTTATGCCCTGCATAACCATCACAATATATTCAAGGAAATTAGGCATTATAGTAACATTCCAGTAAATTTACATTACTGGTGTGTTAAATCGGTTTTGTATGTGGCTGCCAATACACGTGTGAAACTGTTTCATGTGACTATCATAGTTACTTTGTCACAAGACAAGGACGGGTATGCACAGAAACAGTTATAAAAAAGTGGCCATAAACAATTCCTATCATTACGTAGGATCATCAAGTACCACCTAAGGAGCTCACCATAGCAGCAGATATACTGTCTCACTCTCAACCTTTGCAAATTTCTTGCAGAGTAAAACCTAGTAAGGAATGAAAACTGTGAGACTATTATATTTACCAAAATATCCGATTACTTTTTACCTGTCTTATAACATACCCCTGACAATAATTGTTTAACAATGAGAAAATACTGCAATTGCAATAATAGCAAATGTATCTTTTTATCTTTTACAAGTGACAGTAGGCAACCTATGCTGTCTCAACTAGTCATATTTTGCGATAAAGTTTAGACCTGAAACGAGTTGTAAGAATACATAACTACAAATATACTCTTCCTACAACTAGATATGTAAACCATTTTTGTAATAATTAAATGCAAATAAGATTTATATACTGTGACTCTCCGTAACATCCTAAGGATATGTATTACATATTCTTGATCACTGAGACTGATATGATGTGGTAATGTGTCTGCAAGTAGGTTTCTTCTTTTGTTTTCCGGCTATCCGATCGCTTTTCATTTTCCTACTGAGTACACTTAGACAATTCACCATTAAGTTTTGAATGAGCTCGGTTACTATATTTGATATATTTGATTAACCTAATTCATTAAAGAGACAAAATAAGTTACTTGTGGTAGAGATGCACACATCGTACTTGATGTATAGGTATTAACATGAGAGGGTAGCATGATAGCTACTTTATGACACATTACTTATTAGGAAAGTAATCACACCAGAGCTAGCCAATAGAGCATGGGTACACAAAATGCCTTGCAATATACGAAGAAACCCTTTAAGAACCATTTAGACACTAACAGCTGAATTCCGTGGGCTTAGAGACAAGTCATCGATAACAAAACTACAGTGCCTTCAACCTCTGAAGTAATTCATCACCATCGTCATCATCGTCTTTATCGCTTGCAACAGAAACGCGTTCACGGTTACGATCGGCCGCGACTGCTCTTCGCTGCCTGTTAGGACGACCCTTGGTAGTACGGAGTGGGGTTGGGTTCTCCCCGGCTCCCATCAGCATACTCTCTAGATCATTGTTGTTGCGCTCGGAGCCTTTAGGCGGCGACGGACCGACGATGTTGGACTTTGTTCGCGATCGGTTCAGCTCGGCCCGACGATCCGCGTGGGATCCCTTCGGCGTTCGCTTGCGCTGTCGCTGCCCGAAGGCCTGTCCAGACTGCAGCGCCTCGAGGAGACTGTCGACGACTCCCTCCTGGTCATCGTCTACAGTCATGTCCACCAGTGCGTTCTTCTTGAGCGCTCGGTCCATCTTCTCGCGCTGTGTCTTCTCCTTGACCTCCTTCGTGCGTCGAATCTTCTCCTCGGTCTCGCGCCGCTTCACGTTGTCCCTGTGCGCACTCTGGTACTCCGTTATGAACGTCGTTACATACGAGAAGAACTCGTCGATCGACACCTTCTTCGTGTCGACGCAAAAGTACGCGCCGATGTCGCTGTACAGCGTGTCCATTTTCTTGGACATGCTCTCGAGCAGTTGAAACTGTTCGGTCGCCTTGGTGAGGAACTGGTTCATCACGTCGTTAAACCGATCGTCCGCTTCACTGTGCAGATTCGCAGAGCTTTTCAACTCATTGTCCAGATCCTTCACGGACTTACCCATGCTGAGCACGTTCTTCTGGAGCGTCTCTTGTGAGACTCTTGCCGCCTTGTCAGCATGGATAAGCTCGTCGTGGAAAGTGGTCAGGGCAGGATAGTTGCTCTCTATCGTCATCGCGAGATAGTGCAATAGTGTTATCTTACCGTCGACAGATTTCGTATTCTTTAGCTGTGTTATGTAGCTGATATTGTAACCAAGGGACTGAGCATTTCGTGAGCCAGCATTCATGTAGTTGCCAATCAAGAGAATTAGCTCCAAAATCTTTGCAAACTTTGTACTTTGTTTCACCTCTTCGCATGCTGCCGTTGCTGCGACCACACTTGGTTTGATATCGGCTACCAGGTCATCGAATTGCCTTCGGAATAGCAGGGCCCTGAGCCGTGGCATGAGACGTTTAATACCAGACATGACAATACCAAACTGTTCTGACTCAGACAGTTCAGCATACTTGTCCTTATACTCCTTCAACTGATTCAACTGTTCTGCCTCTGGCATGAATTTCAAAAGCTGCTCCAGCATGGATGAAGTCAACTTATCGTCACACTGTTTGATTGCATTTGCAAGCTCATCGTAGGGCATTTTGATCGATCCGAGCACGATGGCAAGGTTTTGAGCAGATTTCGCATCGAGAACCTTCAACTCCTTGATTTTCTTCGACTGCTTTTTCTCTTTCATCTTCTCGCTCGCTTCCTGCATGCGTTTGTTCGAGGATGCAAATTGATCGACTAAACCGTGAAAGATGTTCTCCTTCTCCAGTTGATCTTCGTGCACCTTCACCCAGAAAGCCTTCTCCGTCAGCTTTATCGGCGCGATCTTCTCCCAGTTGGCCCGCTTCAGAGGAGTTTCAGGATTATACTTCTTCTTTGCTTTCATTCCGAACGGCAGGAGGTTTGGATTTCCGATGGGCGATGGCATTCCTGGTGGTCCTGGAGGTCCCGGTGGCCCAGGAGGACGAGGGGCACCCGGCGCGGGCGGCGGTGGCGGCGGACCACCACCAGGTGGCGGCGGTGGTGGCGGTGGACCACCACCAGGTGGCGGCGGTGGCGGCGGTGGACCACCACCAGGTGGCGGAGGCGGCGGCGGTGGAGGAGGACCACCGCCGGGCGGCGGCGGAGGTGCGGCGGGGCCTCCGCTCGCCGGCGAGACGGGCAGACCCTTGGCCGCTTTGCTCAGCTGCTCCTGCAGCTGCGTGACCTTCGCCTCGGCCTCCTGCTGCGCGGTGAGCGCGCTCTCCAGCTTGCGCGTCAGCTCAAGCTGCTCGCCAACCTCAACGCGCGAGCGCTCGACGATGTCGCCGATCAGCGGCTCGAGGTCGAGCTGGAAGCGCTTCGTCGCGCGGAAGTCCGGGTCGCAGCCGTTGCGGTGCAGCACGATCTGCGACACGCACTCCTCGATCATCTTGTAGTAGGCGGTGCGCACGAGCGCGTCGTCGCGGATTGTCAGCAGGTGCTGCAGGATGGAGAGGAAGTACGGCTCGGAGGGCGTGTCAAGAAGCGAGCCGCTGAGCATCGCGAAGCAGTTGCCCGCGTCGTCCAGCTCCACGCGCACGTTCTCAAAGCGGTGCGAGAAGTCCTCAAAGTCCTCCTCCTTGTGGTCGAGGAAGACGTTCACCTGGATGCGCAGCTGCTCGTTGGTCGACGTCTGCAGCTGCGGCAGCAGGTCAACGAGGCCCACACGCATGAACTCGTTGCGCACGTGCATGCGGAAGTCGAGGTCCTCCGGCGTGCTGACAAAGGCGTTGACGAGCGTCATCGACGCAACCGTCAGCGCCGGGTTGCGCTCCGACGTCAGCCCGGCGACGATCGGCCCGAAGCGCTCCTTGCCCTCGAGCTCGCCGCACACTGTGACGGCGGCGAGCGCCTTGTCGTGCCCGTCGGGCGGGATGAGCGAGATGGCCGCCATGAGCGTCATCGCGTCGGCCATCGCGCCGTCGAGGTTCGTGTTGAGCGCGCGCGCGAGGATGACGAGCGCCTCCTCGTGACGCATCACGTTCTGGATGCCAAACTTGCAGTTCATCAGTGCCTTCAGGCACTTGATGCACTCCTGCTGGATGCGCCGCACCACGCGCCGGTCGTCCTCCTGGTAGCAGCCGTTCAGGTGCCGCAGGATCAGGTCGAGCCCCTTGCGGCCAAAGTCGATCACCCAGCTGATCGGGTTCGACGTGAGAGAGACGCGCAGCGATTCGAGCAGCTGCAGCAGCTGCTCGTACGGAATGCTGGGGTTCGCGAGCGCGTTGACGTAGAAGGACGGCGCATCGCCGCGGCGGAACTTGCTGCTCATCTGCGCGCTTCCTTTCAGGTGCATGCACAGCATGTCGCGCTTCACCTGCGGAGAAACGAAGCAGTGGCACGTGTTAAACAGAGTCACGATGAGGTTCCGGCGTCACTGGGATCTCTCTCACTCAGTTTTAAAAGGCATTTCAAAGCTGATCTAATCTAATCCCTTTATCGTCTAATCAAATGCAGCCACACAAATCCTAAGGAGACACATAGGCAATTATGCATTTAAAGACATCACAAAGTAACATACAAAATTAACCCGAATGTCATGGCAAATTAAGCAGCCACAAGTAAAGCAGCAGCAAGTCTATGCAGTCATAACTATTCTGTATGCATAAACTGCCCCACAGTGTTCAGAGCTTAAAGCAAGGAGTAACTTCTCATGTATCAAAACTATAAATTTGTTACTATACCAACATACACGTTTCATGCAAAGGCATGAATATAAAATTAAATCATTTCAGTGCGACATATTACCGCTGTGGGTCGATCCCTTAGTGGCTTCTTTTTCTCTTCCGTCAAGTTCATATCATCCAACATCTTCTCGAAGTTATAAAGGATGTCCTCCTCTGTCATGTCGGCTGTAGGGTCCGCCATGACTTGTGAATCGGGAGGCGCATTCTCTGACGCCAACATTCCATAGCCACCTGAGAATATTACAACAATCAGATTTCAGTTAAGACACAAGCTTTCACGATGCTTAATTGAATCGCTACCTGCTTCTTCGATAGGTGGTGGTCAAAGACTAGGATCGATAGTCACCTGATGCATCTAATGCACATATTTCTCTGAGATACAGCACAACATTACACAAGTATAAAAGCACATTTTTTAGCAAAAATAAATATAGATAACAAGTGCCGCGGAGCGACAGCGCTCATCTAACGTCTACTGTGGTGACTCTGTGGTGGAGTGGTGGGATTCTAATAAACCTGTTAGTTCCAAATGTGTTCACTATACCGCGCCCTAAACAGTGGAAGGCACAGGATGGTATCAGAACCTTTCTCTTATGATTTAAAGGAGCATAAACCTTCTTCAACGAAATTTAGCTTTTAAAATTTCAGTGTGACTTGTAGCCACATACATCCAGGCATGTATAGATTCTACTAGCAAACCCGGCAGTCAATATTCTTTCTAACAGTAAACCAAATCCATGTTTAACCCTTCCCTTGAGGGTCAAAAGTTATCGACGACCTTACTCTTCGCATGTCAGCAGAAAGTAGCATTTCATGATCCTTTCAATAAAGCTATAAAATGCTAGGTCTAGCTGAACAAAAAAGTTTCAATGCGCTCCGTCAGACCATGTCCTCAAAAAATGTCTAAAATCTGCCCTGTGCCCCATTGACCTTTGACGCTGTGACCTCCATTTCGGCATAAGAAAAAAAAAAAACCCCCAGGTCAGTGATGGTTTTCCTACCATGATGCTATACACCGACTATCACGAGCCTAGGTCGAGCCGTTTAGATGTGTGCCGCAATTCTGCATTTCCTCCCTATACCTTAAGTTAAGGAAGGAATGTTCCCACTTCTTTTACACCTCTTGACCTTTGACCTTTGACCCCAGCTTCAACATCCCAACTCGTTTTCGGATTACCCCCCCCCACGTCCCAAATATCGTGACCATACGTCGAGCGGTTAAGATTTGTGCCCAACTGTTGACGGACGGACGCACGGACGCACGGACGGCCGGACGATCATGCGATTCTACAAGCTGCATCTGACTACGTCAGATAAGCTAAAAAGTAGCTCTAGATTTATATCATAATATTGGCAATTAAATAAATAAATTTGATAATAAAGCAAATTCATTGAATCCCAAGTCTCTTACAAAGAGGCAAATGTCAAACCTATCACAATTATTAACTTTTTAAACTTAGCAACAAACTAATCCCATTAGATAATGTGACTAGTAGTAAATGCATGACTTAACAAAACATTTTTACCTGGAGCTGGTGGTATGTATTGTGGCCCACCATAATGATGTTTATGTTTGTTTTTCTTCTTCTCTTTCTCTGGTAGTCGAAAGGACCCAATCAGAAACTTTGACTTCTTTTCCTTGTCTTTTTTACCACTGTCCATCCTGCTGATCTGGATGCAAACCGTGTACTTAGTTGGATAAGACCTAAAATGTATTTAAATGCATAGGTTAAAGTATGTATTAAATTGGTTAGGGCCGCTATATGTAATGTATGCATCCAATTTCTCTCAGAGGTCTTTTCTAGCACCTATACATGCACACACACAAAACAGTTCACACTTTATTAGAATTACATTTACACTATATCATTTCAACTTCATTTTAGCAAATAAATGAATAATTGGTGAGGGCCTATACGTTTTTGGTAGTCAGTCTATAACACCTTATCATATTCGCCTGCTGTAATGATATTGCCAAGATCTAATCACATAGTTGGAGAACATCACTGGGTTTTGGCTGGAACTGGCAAAGCCCTAGATTTATACAAACCAAGTCGATGCAATTGAGCTGTGCATGTGTTTGCAATACCAGCCGGTGAGAGATTTAAATGCTTCCAATTTTTTATCAGAACTTTCACCATGCATCCTGCACAGACTTGCAATTTTTTATCCAAGAAAAAAGTCATACGGTGCTATTTTTACTTAAGGCCAATATCTCACCCCAAAATGTCCAATTGATTCATTCCTCTCAGCTATTCTTTAATTCTTTATTGAATTGTATTTTGTATTTTTCAGCTAGCAGTTGCTATGTAGCTATTTTAAACATGCTGTAATTATTTTAAGTGCATCTGCATTGTGATTATGATAAGGAGTTATGATAAGGAGTTATGATAAGGAGGCAAGAAAAAGGCTAGGATGCCAGTGCATGCCACAATAATCATACTAGGGTTCATAGTTTTGTGATACAAAAATAGCTCTGCCACTATCAGTCCACATAACAAAAAATTGTGGAAAGGTACATTAGATGTATTCTCACTACTACTGACATTTTGTGGCACAATTCTGATCCTAAATAGTGTATAAGGTATAGCACACTATTGGTGATATGTTCGTGGTTACACTTTACATGTCTTATGCATCCCAAATATAATCCATACATCTACATTTATCACAGAACAATGTAAAATTCATAAATAACCTATATTATTTTATGATACATATAGATCTATGCACAATTATGTAAATGATGAAGATGATGTGTTGACCATATGAGATGACAGTAAAATAAGATTGAAATTTACACAGGTGAGCAACAATTCACTGCTAGAACGCATGCATAGTCGGGCCATCCTTGAAAAATTATATGTTTGCTGTCCTCCGACCGACCTACGAAAATAGCCACGACCCAAGTTTTTTTTAACATTTTGGGTTCCATTTTTTTTCAACATTTTTCATAGTTAAGACTGAGACATTTTTAGCATGTGTGGAAAACATCAAGAACAGACTTAAAATAACTATTATGCCTCACAAAAAAAGAAGACCTACCTACCTACCCACTAAAAAAATCATGGGTCCGGGGACAGCAAACATCTTTTAAGGATGGCCTCGTGATAGTACTTAGTAGGCCACAATAAACTTTTAAAGTTTTAGCAAGGTGGAAGAAATTGCATGTAGGGAATATAGAAAGAGAAACACTATATATAGCATATTGCTTTTGTAGCACAATAAAATTTACAAAGCCATAGTTTATACATGTTGCTGTTGTTTGTGATAAACTTCAGCCAACACTCATGATTTCAAACTGCCAGTAACAGGAATTTCAGATTACAGGTTATGTTATCTATGATTGCCTTTCTATGATAATAATGCCTTTTCACCTTCTTTTAGATGATGCATGCATTCACCTACTATTTTTACTAGACATCTTCAAACCAATGTCCAATTTGACACAATACAACAGCCAAAACTTTTATCTCGCAGTTGCCACATCTTTCTGTGTTTTGGGGATCTGGCCTGGTCTACGCACGTGGATAAAAGCTATAACAGGTAAACTGTAACAATTCCGAATTCGGACATTGGCTTGAAGATATCACATAAAGATAGTACGATATCGCAGGATTTACTCCACAACTATCCTCTGCTTCAATGTTCTGCCCACTTGTACACTGCATTGAGCTTGTTGGGGGGGGGAAGTAAGTTGTGTAATTACTTTGATCAATTTCCATGTGATTGGTGGTATATCATATCATGTTTTTACAGGGGTAGAAATTAACTTGTGAACACGGGAGTCCAACAGACGGGAGACGTTACCCTCAAAAAGAGGTAGTCCGCAGCAAAATGAGGGAGTCCGCAGTCTGAGGTTCAAAATTAAAGATATTAATAATAACGCATGTGCTTATTTTTAAGATTCATGCGGTTTCAAATCTGCCAAATTTTCTTTGGACATTTGCTAAAAAAATACGGTAATTCAACGAGGCCGTGCTCCAGAACAAACTAGTTAGTATGGCAGAATTTTCAGGGAGTCACACAGACTCCTGCGTATGTCAAATTAGGGAGTCCGACAGTAAATCAGGGAGTATTTGACTCCGGACTCCTGTTAATTTCGCACCCTGTGCTACCACAAAAAGTCAGTCATTAGTAAGAGTCAAAACACGCTCTAGGACTCTCCAACTTTAGATACGGTATAGCCCGACCAGGCTGTGCGACGGATTGTCTATACAGCCTGACACCCTTCCATACAAAAAACCTATCACCTCTGCAGATCTAGATGAATAACTCTGTATATCTGAAATAAAACTATTCTATTACCACCTTTGACTTGCCTTGTTTGAAATATGAACGTTAACTCACAGTTGTCCTGCTTCTAAACTAGAATGTATCTCTTAATTCATTGTATAATCTGCTAATTCTCACAGCATATCAACTTTACCCGCCATGTTTACACTGCGCATGAGTCAATGGAAGAGAGACACAAAAAACCCGAAACGGAAAAGACTCGCTAGAAAATACTACAGAAATAGTACAATAGCTGCACGATGGCTCTCATAGCAATTACACATCAAAGCAAGTGAAACGATGTTCACAAATGTCTGGCACATTTGTAAAAACCTTAGATGACATGTTCTCGGATGTAGGGGTGGTTTACATAAAGACCGCAGATCGTTTAATTTCCCTTGTTCGATCCATTGCGGATTTTAGTCACAGTCGGAATGATAGCAAACATGGTGGCAAATTCATAAATTTGGTTGCATCTGTCACAAAAAGTCGCTGTATAACCCCATAAGTACCCAGCGCATCGTAGCGCACTGATGGTTACAAGAAGGTGGATGTATACTGATTCATTTGATATATCACATGTGAAGTGATATGATGTGAAGTGAAGTGATGATGAAGTGTTCTTTGGCAATACTTGGCAAATAAGACAACTACGTGTTTAGCTGCAGCCAATGTTTGAAACGGTATTCTAACCCTAGCAATACCGTTTCTTGGAGCTAGATACGGTAGTACTAACTCACGTGTTTTGCTACGCCTATGGGTTACTAACCGAGTTAGAGAGATGTGTGTGTGTGTGTGTGCGTGCGTGCGTGTGTCTGTGTGCGTGCGTGCGTGCGCGTGTCACTGTGTGTGTGTGACTACTGTAGTGTCAGTGTCAGTACAGTAGTCAGTACTGACAGTAGACTCAACGACAACGTTACCGAGCCCACAATCAATTAATCCGGCATCGAACCACCTGCTATTTCAGTAATTTCATTATAAACTATGTGTACCTTATACGAAGATATTATTATCACATTCGTGAAACGGTGTCTTCACCACATGTTAGTGCTTCTTGACTGTCAGCAACATTCACAAACATGAATTAACGCCCAGTTTCATGTTTTCCTGCCTGCGCCAACATAACCTGAACTCCGGATGAATGCGCTCTTGATTTTAATTGTTCATGGCATTACTGTGATTACATTGTGATTTATCTAACAAAAATTCGGATGTTCTTCAATTTTATCAACATACTTCATGACTTACCTATTGAAATATTTAGGTTTTCTCAATATATTCCTCGTGGTCAGTTGTATTTTTAGAATATTTAGAAAAGTAGGTATCATGTTTTCTCTAGTGCAACTCCACATCCCGCCATTTTTGGCGGTGAAAAATTACATGTTTGAATTGCAGTAAACAATTTCTTAACAGTGACTTGTAATCTCCGGGAATGAATATTTCAGTTAGTACCCTCTGCGTCGTGCTTGTTACGACTCTCTGATGTCTTGAGATGCCATCAAAACAGCAATTAGACAAGGCCGCTTGGCAGTGGGCTGAAACGACGGACCCATCATGCCAGGCAAATGTAACTGATCAACACGTACGGATCTCGTATAAGTTGACTGTGAAGCCTTGTAAACAGGGTACATGCAGGTGAGCCTTCAGCTATCATATTCCTACTTAGCTATAAGACAGCAGTGCTGAACTTAGTTATGACTGTAAAGTCTATAGTGTACCGTATTGAAGTTCTCTCCCGTCCTCTTTAAATTTCTTTAGTAAATCGCAAATTTGAGTCATTTTTTTGTAAATTCTAGTAGTAGTACTTACTACTTAGTACTAATAGTAATACTACTAGTAGTAGTACTAGTAGTAGTACTGTGTCAGTGATCCGCAATGTTGATCTGTCTATTTCAAGTATTTGATCAACTTTGGGATCAAGAATAGCTTGGCACCCCGCAAATATGTTGGCCCATTCCTATTTGACAACCCCAGGTTTAAAAACCCTAACCCTAACCCTAACCCTAACCCTAACCCTAACCCTAACCAAACTCACGACACGGGTGTGTAAACGCTACTTGTACCAATATGTTTTTGCATATATACATGTGCTAAACTAATCCGGGGTGCTAAACTATGCATGGGCCCAATGTCTCTTTCTGTCTTCGATACAAAATCGGTGCAAAATCTCTTAGCTTGTGTTAATAATGTTCATTATATACCAATGAAAATAAATTTTACTTGAACTTGAACTTGAACTTGATACACTGTCCTTTGGACTGAAGACTAATAGTAATATGGCCGTGGCTACGCGACCGGTTCCGGAGGAGGAGCCGCTAGGCTACGCGTCCGGACATACATCTCACACAGTGATATTGCGACACATACACGCATGATTGCGCAACGTGATGATCTGCTGATTGCCGAGTTTGTGTGTGCGTGAGAGAGATAGAGAGAGCTGTGCGTGTGTGTGTGAAAGAGAGAGATAGCGAGAGAGGACGGATGAAAGGATAGACGGCAGCAGTGCATATATTGTATATTTACGGCAATCAGCAGAGCGTCCCGTTGCGCAATCATGCGTGTACGCAGGTCGCGCGATCACTGTGTGAGTGGATGTCCGGATGCGTAGCCTGGAGGCTAGGCGACCGGTTCCGGATGCGTAGCCACTGCGTAATAATATTCAAGAGGTTACCCAGTGGCAATGATGGTGACCCATGCCTCAGTCACGCTACACTAGTACCATCATGACTACTAGTACTATGAATACTACGGCCCAGTGAAAAAAATACACGGGGGCTCGGGGCGATTTAGCCCCCGAAATGCCAAAAAGAGCCCCTGTAAATTTGCATAGAGTTCAATGCAAACCAAATTTTAGAGTGCTATTTTCATGCACGCGAGCTTGAAAAGTAGCCTCCGAAAAATCAATTTTAATTTTTTCCCTGCTACGGCCAGTCTTGCCACTGCTATTAGTCACTGGCGGCAAGGTCAAGTCTGCACCCACCTGCATCCATGCATTTGTGCGTGCGTGTGTGACACTGTTGTTATATTATGTGTGCTATAGTGTTAGCGTTATGGGGAGGGGGCAGACTTGAACCTGCTGCCAGTACTACTGGTACTTCAGTAGTGTGATGTTAGTTACTGTTATTGCATAATGGCTAGTTTCAGTGTGTGACAGTGACAGTTGTGCAGTGTTTTCCCTGGCCAAAAAGGTCTGTAAAGCCCGGCGCACACGTGGTGATTTTTATCGACAGTCCCGGCGATTCTGTTGCCAGCAACAAAATCGCCGAGAAATCGCCACGTGTGCGCTGCCCGGCGTCACCGATTTTGACGCCAGAAACTCGTCGCTGGAATATCAAACATGTTAGATATTTGTTGCCCAGTCGCTGAACAATCGCCACGTGTGCGCCGGGCTTAAGGTGGTAAAAACATTTTTTTTTATGTTTGCGCATTTTGAGGTCTTAGCTAAGCGAGCACTGCAGGTGCTCGCCCAGCTAGGTGGGTCCGGTGCATGCCCTCAGGAAATCTTTTGAAAAAATGGTGCAATTTGGTGCGTTCTAAGCTATATTTCGATTTTAGTTCAATGAGTGTAGTTAATTGATGGAAGAACAGTGATTGTCGTCAGTGAGGCGGTGTTTTGGCCAAATTTCTGTGTGGCGGCTAAGAATTTGAGCGAGGCGGCCCGTCTCGCTCCTGTCAATGCAGGGGAAACACTGGTTACGTGTTAGCTATATGCATTAAACACATTCACAAACATAATCTATGGTAAGGCTAAATAACGAGATCACGTGGATTGTGTTTAGCTGATATTTACGAATTGTTCGTGTACTGCAGCACAACGTAGGGCGATGTGAATGAAGTTCTTCACATGTTTTGTTTGTGCACTACATCAATCATCACGCTAAAAAGTTGAGTTTTAATTTAATTGGATTTTAATAGACGAAATTGTCGGGGAAGTCCTCGCTGCTTGAATGCGCTCGGTGAGAGTGTGTGGATGGGTGAGATCGACGAGAAGAAGTTTAGTGATATAGAAGATCCAGATGAAGAGAGAAGGAAAAAGGTATGCATTGTAATAAATACATGGTTTCAAGTCAGGTTATGTTCTTTAGGAGGAAATAAATAGGAAAGTTTTTTGCATGTTACTCGTAATGTACGTGATTGTTTATTTATGAGAAATGTTGTTAAATGTTAAATATGTGATCTGTAAGAATTACTTGTTTGTGGTTGGGTGCATACATAATTCTCTAGATAATGCCCACATAAAGTAAATGTGACATGATTCTTTCAAAGTTAAATATCTTGATTTAGACTAGCTAAATTAAAGAAAAGGAATTGAAGGGGTTACTTATAAAATAAGGAAAATTATTTAATGATATTGTATAATGTGAAAATGTAATAATCTCATGGGATTAATGATCTAATAGTTATACTGTTTAATTTGATTTTGCTCAGGGTGCCTTCGTTGGTTTAAAGAATTTAGGAGCCACCTGTTATGTGAATAGCCTTCTGCAGGTAAGTTCCTTTGCCATTATAAAAACGTGTTGATCATGGTTAACTGCCTAGCTATTTATGCAGGGCTTTCTTTGGAATAAGAAATGAGCTATCATGTTAGTCTTTAGTTACCAATAATAAAAACTAGCTATACTAGCTACCTTATCATGTTTTCTAAAACGAATGTTACACCACTGGCAGGTGCATTTATATGTAAAAGGTGCATAGATGTTACTTTACTGTTACAAACTTTGCTGGGACTTAGGTGCCATGGCACTTATAAACACACACAAACAGTAGTTGATTGGTGTTAACATGATTTGTTTCGGATTGTGCATGAAGTTTCTGTGTACATGGTGTTGTGTGTTTCCTGCTGTCTCTTAGCTATGGTTCCACAACCCAAACTTTCGATTAGCGGTCTACAGATGGCGCCCTATGGAGGAAAATGTCTGCACTGATGATGCCGTCGATAACTGGAAGCCTTCATCTATTTGTGAACATCTGCAGGGAATCTTCGCCTTGTTAGAGCTAAGTGAGAGGAGGTGATTCCATATAATTGTGTAGATAGAAAGTTATGCTTGCAGTGGCATGTATTTGGGTAATTGTATATGAAACCGCCCAGATTATAATGAAATGCTACAAAATATGTAATAGCTGAGTTTTTGCTTACATTTCTTCAGCATGTATCTTTCCTCATCAATTATTCGTGCTGTTGTATACTGTAAAAACTTAAATTCAAAGAAAAAAATGCTTAAACTAATCTGTTATAACTACAATCTCATTGCACAAGTCAAACATTGTGTGGATGGTTGGTGGTGTGGTGATTTGTTTGAAATTGGTATAGGTATATAGACCCAGGAGAGTTTGTGACTTCCCTGGGCTTGGATACGGGATTACAGCAGGATGTGCAGGAATTCTCTAAACTTTTGGGTAATAGATTGCAAGACCATGCTAACCCACAAGTAATAGACGTTATATGCGATCAGTTTCAAGGGACATATTCATATGTTACTACGTAAGTATAAATGTATAATCTATGGGGGAAAGGGGGATATAAGATATATGTTGTATATATAACATTATATTTTATAACGTTATATATAACGTTTATATAACGTTATATTTATAACCTGTTAACAACTTCAATCGGTTTTAGCTATTAAACTTCTAGTGCCATAAACTTATTGTAATCCCTTATTTGCTGAGGTAAACTGATTGTGAAATGTTGATACTGTCCTTAGTCTTCTGTGTTGTCAAGAATAATAATGCCAATGTCACAATTATTAATGCTATAGGTGCAAAGGTTGTGGTGGGTCATCCGATACACCGTCAAAGTTCTATGAGCTGGATCTAAACATAAAAGGCCATAAAACACTTCACGGATGCATCGAGGAGTTTTTGCAGGTTTGTCATCCTTACCGACTTTCTATCTTCTGCATTCTACTCTTTGTCTCTCTTCTCTCTCTCTCTCTCATTCTCTCTCTGTATTCCCTTCTTCTCTCCTCTCTCTCTCTCTTCTGCTTCTCCCTCCCCTCTCTCTTCTCTCTTCTCTCTCTCTCTCTCTCGTCTCTCTCTCTATCTCTCTCTCCTTCGTTCTCTCATCTCTCTTCCTTCTTCTTCTCTCTCTCGGGTCTTTTATTCTTTCTCTTCTCTCCTCACTCTCTCTCCTCTCTTCTTCATCTCTTCTCTATTTTCTTTCTCTCTTCTCTCTCTCTCTCTCTCTCTCTCTCTCAGGTTTCTCTCTTCTCGCGTCTTCTTCTCTCTCTCTCTCTCTGCTCTCCTTCTCTCATTCTCTCTCTTTCTCGGCCCACTTCCAGTATAACAGAGTGTGGTAGAAAGTAGATAATTAGTGTGTGTGTTGGTGGTATATATATGAGTCTTACTTACTTCTTTAATCATTTCTGGAGTTGCTTGGATTGTGTTATTCGATTTTCATCATTTATTCATCTTATTGTGAGCCGGAATGACTTGGTCGCATGCGCTTAAGTATGTGGAAGCTGAGCATCTAGTTTTGATTGCTTAGGAGGAAGAGTTGGGGAGGGTGACAACAGTATCACTGGCAGTATGTTGCAACAGCAGCAAGGGATATATTGCTTGCCCGGGGCCGAATCTTGGCTGCGGTCTCTGGGCGCCAGCTTGCGTTCAACTCAACTGCTGAGGGGATTTAATTTTTGATAGGTAACCCCGGGGCTTTGAAGCATCAAGATCTCTGCTATGCCTTCCGCTTCCCTTCCCCCGTCTTCTCTCGCTTTCGTTTCTCTTCTTTTCTCCGGTCTCCCTCCCTCCAATCACTTTTTGCCCTGAGCCGGGCGGGCCTCTCCAATCCCTTCGACCCTCTCTTTCTCTTCGGCCAATCTCTCTCTTCTTTGCCTTCTCTCTATCTATATCGATCTCTTCTTTTTTCGTCTTTCTTCTTCTTTCTCTTTCTCTCTCTCTTTTTCTCTCTCTTCTTTTCCCTCTCTCGTTCATTCTCTTTCTTTACCTCTAACTTCTCTCTTTCATTTTTGCTCTTTCTCTTGTCTCTCTCTGTCATCATCGCTTCTCGTCTGCTCTCTCTCTCTCTCTCTCTATTACCTTGCTTTCTTAAAGGTCTCTATGTCTATCTTCTTTTCTTCTTCTCTTCTCTCTCTCTTTCTCTCCATTTTTTCTCCTCTCTCCCCACTGTCTTTCATTTTTGTAGGCTCACCTTGGAACATCGTCCAGAGCTGGAGCTTATTGCCCAGGGGTCGACGTACGTCCGGTCCGTCCGGTCCGTCAACATTTTGCGTAACGGTCAACGATGTAAACCAAGGAAACGTTGGGCCCACCAGTGTTTGAAAGTTGGTATTTAGTTTGTTACATTTGCTATTGCTCCCATAGTAAACGTCCTATTTTTTGGAGGCACGCCGGTTGAACGTAACATTTTCGAAGCCACAGCAATATTTTTGGGCAAAAATGGGAATATTGCATTCAGTCAGTTTTTTCAGGTTCAACGGGATTTTGCGCTGTTTGGCATGTGGAATGATTAAGGGCCGAGGGGCGTTTTTGATATTAATAAAAAAAATTATGCAAATTAAGGTAGTGGGTTTTGTAAATTATATGATCATTATATAGACAACAAAACAGTCGTTGTGGTGTCACCACTCATCTTTGGTTCGTTTTACAAGATTTCATTGACAATATCTTTAATGCAAAATTGGTATTTCCTCTCCACTCTGCCGATAAAACGTCTATATTAGAGTAAAGTTTTACAAAACATGTCGGAACGAAGCATAACCTATTTATTTCAAACGCCATCCCTACAAAGCGGGTATAGCGCCATCTACGGTCACAAATTGTGATTCATTTTGGTTTATAAATTATTATTGCGATATACAGATAGCAATCGTTTCTATAATGTACGTCGATGGTTGCTCAATTAAAACTGACTTCTGCTTACTCACTCGAGTCATTTGTGTCCTTTTGTGTGGGGAGCTACAGTGTCATTGACACTTTCATTATCTTTACCTCTCTATGGTTCTCTTTTAGTCTTTCTCTCTGAGGCTACCTCTCCAATTTACTTGTGCTACTTTTATCACGACGCCACCATTCACTATGGTCTACAGTATAGGATTTAGTCGAGGTATTGGGCTTGTTTGATCTAAAGCTTGATGCCAACCTCAGACATGCCTGTAAAACGGTATTGTTCAACATGTAGTGTGTTGATTTCTCAGCGTTGTGACATCTATCAGTGATTTGATCCTGTTATGCAGAGCTACAGGTCAGAAGAAGAAGCTCAACAGCTGTATACAGTTTCCAGATGTACTCGATATGAGTCAATGCATCGGCGAAGCAGGTATATATCAGAGTCCCACGATGATTCTAATTTATCTCATCGGCTTTTATCGGTGGAATTCTGATGATTTTTTTAATCGAAGATGACCCGACGTTCGATGTTCGCCATGCACATTCTGTAATGTTATATGAATTGTGAACAGTCGATATAAAAAATTTATCGCAGAATGATAGCCGGTATGAAACTATGATATGAATTGTTATTCCCTGCTTCTTTTCAGAACAAACATCTGTGTATGACCTGACGGCTGTGCTCATCCACAGAGGCATGTCTGCATACGCCGGTCACTACATTGCGCACATAAAAGAAGCCAGCAGCGCCACGTGGTACAAATTTAACGACGAAGTGATCGAGAAGATGAAGGGCAAGAATCTGCAGCTCTACCAGGATGAGGACGAGATTGGTGACTATGGGGAGCAGGGCTCGAATTTCGCAATGGCACCGATGACAATTCCTCCCTGCTGGTCGTCTGTACAATAATCCTAGACTAGGATATATAGACTATTGAATTTAATGGTCTTTTCTTTACCGACATCACTTCCTGTGCCATACGTACCTTCTGTTGAGTATCATCTGTCATGAAACTTTATCAGACACTAATGCAATAGTAATGATGTATTCATATAGTATATACGTGATAGATTACAATCCGTATTCATTTAAGTCTATAATTAACTCATTCCACAGGCAGGCCTGACTGGAATGCAAAGAAAATGCGTGGAGTAAAGGGTATTCTTACATCTAAGGATGCCTATATGCTTGCATACACCAGACGAAAATCGACAAATGTAGAAGGTAAATGCATTTAAAAGGTAAGGCAATTGCCTGAGTACAATTCAGCCAAGACCAATTTCGTGATTAGGTTTTGCATCTTTGCAACTTTCTTTTTAGATTATGTAGCACTAAATATCAGACAGTAATTCTAGATATTCCCATGGTTTAATATCCTATTATGCTCCCAGTACACGTGTTTGGGGTTTTGAACTGTAGCATGTTATTAATAATTATTCACGGTTGCCTAGCAACCATTCACAGCATCAACTTGTTTAGTTACAATGTTTATACTTTGTTGACTTTCTCTAGTATATTGATCTTTTATTGTAATTTCATCATTACCACAGCATTTGTTATGTAGTGAACTTCTGTGCAGTCTAACATGCACGGAGGTTCTGGGTTGGAGATTTTGCCTGTGTGCGAGCATGGTGTAGATGTAGTGTCCCGTGGCATGCTTCAGGCACATTCATATGTCCTTTCGACCTTTGCTGTATAACAATGGCTGCATTACATTGGCTGCATACAGAACTACTTGATGGTATTGATTAGGCTGGGACCATAAAGTATCATGAGAAATGCTTACTCCAAGAAAAATATCAGTGATAGTGTTATTAATAACGTTAGGTGTTGTCAAAAATCTGCAATTTGAGCAGTTAGAAATAGTGCCTTATTGGTAAGATTTTGACAGATTTCAAGTATGTGTGCACGACACATTGTTGACCAATGCGATAAGGTCAAGAGAATAGGAGTCCAGTGCATTAGTCTGCAGTTTTTGGCTGTCTGAGTTCATTGTCTTGCTGTCATTTGGCTCCTCTGGTGGGCTGACATTACGAAAGCCCGGCTTTTTCTTTCGTTCTCACGCAGAGCCGCTTGTGGAGGTGGTGTCGGCGGTGGATGCGCTCCCTGATCGAGTGAAGATCTACGTGAGCAAGGATAACAGCAACTTTGATGCATGGATGAAGGAGATGAAGGCAATGAAGGTAAAATCACTACGAAACCCAGCCACGGTAAGAATCACTGCGTCCCTCATCGCCATGAGCAACCGTACAACATCGGAAGCTGCTCACGCAAGGCCGCACCCTTTTGTTTTGACGGCGTCATTTTTCCGAGATATTTCATAGTTTATGCAATGTCACTAACTTTGTAGATGAGTCATCTTCCGATGGTAAAACCTAATAGGAATTGACACCATCACCTGACTTTAAGGATACACTCAAGCTTTTGCATGGGCATTGCTTTATTGAAGAGTAAACGGTAATTGACAAAATGAATCGAATCAATCACACGTTTTATTTATAGATGAGATGTATCTACAAGCTCAAGCCAAAAAATTTCATGAAGTTTCCAGCACCTAATTATGGGACAACACAAATGTTTAATTTTTATGTAAAAATGGTATTTTGTATATTTCTCAATTACCACAAAGAGTGAGAAAACAAAACTTTCGCAACAAGTTAAGCACATTATGATCTAAAAAAGCACATCAGGATTTTTCTTTACATTTCAAATTTACCGAAACAAATGAATAAAACTAAAATTTAAGTCGTATGTTCGGATTAAAAATTTATGCAAATAAATAACCATAACTCATAAAAGACGGCACATAATATCAAACCCTGACGCGTTTTTTATAGCAATGTGTTAAAACGAGTCTAAATTATTCCAAGTTGTGGTGACAGAGAAATATCCATTTATTCATCGGTTACTGTGGCAGAAATCGAAACGGAGAAATCAGCGTTTTTCTACTTTTCACAATGATCGACTGCCTGCTTGCAAAATGGGTGAACATATGTGAAACATGTACTGTTAGTACTTACTGTGACATATCCAGGACTAACTGAAACCACTAAACTGGTAAAATGTTCTGTGCACCTTGAGAAATTGTGAGGAATTACGAGGTTATCATCGCAATTTCATGCGAAACGTAAGAACGATGTGTACTGCATGACGTCACTAAGCTACGTGTCAACAAAACCCGGGCCTATATGTAAGGTTATGTATCGAGGTGTAAATGCTATTTTCGGCCACGCAGCAATTTCACCTATCAGTGGCAAATGACAGCTGTAGAAAGGTTGATGTTGATGGACATTTGGCATAGTGAATACTGTGAAAATGCTGGTTGTATCATGTCTGACGTCATCAGTGACAACAGCCGCGGCACACTACCCATGTACGCGGGCAATCAAAACGCTCTGAAAGCGTCGTTATATGGAGAAATGAGTGTGTGCAGAGGTGATATCTAATGTTAGCCATCGAATAAGAATGAAAATGAACAATCGGTAAAATTCCACTTAAAAGCTTGACTATCCTTAAGAAGCATTCAGTCGGTGTTGAAGAGGCACGTTTTTTTTTCACTAAGATAACATGACATGCTGTCCTAATTTCAGTTCTCCGAATTTTATTGTGTTGCAGTAACTGTGGATATGTTAAAATCTGGGTCATTTATTCTAAATGCTAGTCTTTAACTACTGGCATGGTGTCCTCTTTCTCTGGTTTCCTCAGGATAAGAATGTCACTTCAGGATTAGCTAAGCAGATGCAGGTGCGGGAGATGTACAATTTACTCCAAGATAAGGATGAAGTTCTACCCGACTGGATAGCAGCACAGTGGATTAGTGACTGGTGGGATAATCGTTTACGTATATTTTCTGCTTCATTTGAGTGTTTGTTATTGCTAATTTTAAGATTATTATTCGATGTATTATTATTTCGATGTGCTAGTTAATAGATAATAGATATAGTTAATATAGTTTATAGATTTTTCAAATCTGAGGACTTGTATTTAAATTTAAAATCATAATAATTGTAAGAAAGATATTTTGTTGGAAATATATGTATTCTATATTTCTAGATTTATTTATATATGTGTTGACTAGTAGATTGCTAGAGAATGCCTTGCAAATGGACCAGGAGACCTTGTGTGAAATTTATTTCACTTCGCACTCATCCTAAATTGAGCACGTTTGCAGGATTGGTGGGTAAGCAATTGAAATGGCCTGTAAACATTGCTGCAGGTTGGCTAATCCCGACGCAGAGCGCTCAGTCGATAACTCTGCACTGCTGTGCAGCCATGGAAAACTGAGTCCAGACGAGATCGTAAAAGCGAAGTGCATTAGTAGTGAAGGTGCTGCAGTAATATATGCAAAGTTTGGTGGTGGCCCACGACTCGCTGGGTGAGTGAACACGCGCCTTTCGTAGAACTCGCGCAATGACAGCGAGTTTGGTGTTACTCTCACATGAAAGAATGCTAGCTCTCCTGGTAAAAGTAATTGATATTTGATGGTATTAGCTATTACATGAATAACGGTGAGAGCATTATCCTATATTAATTTATGGTGTGTTAGACGACATAGAGAAAAGCACCTCCGCATGTGCAGTTTAACTTGTTAGAAATTTAATGTGAATTTCTGCCAGTACTATTGTTACTCGTTTGTAAGTGTACCATGTTTTCCATAGCGACGTATTGTGTCGAGAATGTGTGATAGAGAGGTGTCAATCCATCCATGTCAAGGCTAAAGTAGCAACTGATAGCAAAACCATTACTGCTTTGCTTAAAAGGACGTGCAGCAGGTATGCCATTACTTTACCGATGTTAAGGATAGTATCATCGCATCTCATATTGGAGAGTAATGAACTGTGCAGGAAACTAAATTAAGGCTTGCAGCCTCACGCCATAAGCAAAAAGCTATTCTGGATGAAGTTTGTCACAGAAAACCCAAGCAGCGGAGTTGCTGGGGCTCTATATGCCCCATGAGGAACCAGAATAAACAAATGGAAAGCCTAGTTAAGAACAGTATTGCGTAAAATTTCTTTGTACGGTTTTAGCTATGTGGCTGATCGACACAATTCACATTAACATCTTCTTTCTCAAAAACTGCTTGCTTGCTGTAGCACTAAGCAGTTTTGGGTAGGAAAGACGTCACTTCGTAGCTGGAGGTGTTTGGTGCTGCAACATTACGGCAGCAGTATTCAGGACAACTGTGGTGCAGAGGGAAGCGGAAACAGTGAAAATAAACAGGAGCAGCAGCAGCAGCAGGAGCAGGCAGAAGCACAGAGTAGTAACGAAAAGATAGAACGTCAGCACTCATTGGAAATGGATGCAAATGGTAATTTCAAAGTCTGTGTACCTCAAAGTCCTCCTTTCTTGTGTAGTTATGTGAATTATCGTTATAAGTCTTAACCACATAGATAAGCACATAGCTTGCTGGCCTTGTATAACTTGTCGACAGTGTTCATGGATATGTGGGTGTTCGCTTTATTTAACAGGCTTCTCTCCACGGGGCCTGAATAATTACATTTACTCACGCCAGTGGTTAATACTTTTATGAGTCCAATGATAATTGGATTCACAGATACTGTCAATGCGGCACATGCACAAGCTTTACAATTACACAGATTACTAGTTAGATATTTAGAAAATAATTCTAATACTAGGACTGTTGCTGTGATTCTATAACTAACATTCATCAGTTCTTTTATCAGTTGAATAACATATATAACTAGTAACTGGTAACAACTTCATTACATGTTGTAATACACAATCAGTAAGCAATCTATATTAGTGATCAATATACAATCGAATGAAACAAAGAACGAGCAAACATATGACACTTGTGCCATAACTCTTTTTTGTGTGAATGCAAAGGAATACAAAACACTCGGGAGTCATGGCCCCAAAACTCACAACCTTAGTTTCGCACTTCACCCTGTTTCACTTTATCCCTCAGTAGACCTCTATTTATGTTTTCTATGATTGAATATGGCAGCATTTCTGGAAAATATCATGTAAATCGTAGTACTCTTGCAGAAGCAAGCCGTTATTCAGCATTATTTTGGATCCAACAGATGGGTCTGCTCACCCAGAGAATGAAACCACAAGCATCTCTAGTGTTGATGACAGGCTACAAGGCTTTAACGAGGACCTGTTGTGCAGTGGGCATAGGCGACTGTGTGTGCAAGAAAACAGAAGAAAACTAGTCTCGATTGATGTATGGTCTCGCTTGAAGGGATACTTCCCAGATGCTCCGGAGTTCAGTGCCTCTGCTCCTGTTTGCGAGAAGTGCTTGGTAGGTGAATCATCCGTCTGTATATGTTAGGAGGTTTGCCATATTTCTTTTAGATTACTGCTACTTATCAGTTGTATAGAATCTTGATGAGTTGAGTTGTAATCACAGAAAAATATTCATTTATACATCGGCTACTATGGCTGAAATCGAAACAGAGAAATCAGCGTTTTTCTATTTTTCATAATGATCGATCGCCTGTGTGCAAAATGGGTGAATGTATGTGAAACATCTACTGTTAGTACTTACTGTGACATATCCATGACTAACTGACACCACTAAATTGGTAAAATGTTCTATGCACCTTGAGAAATTGTGAGAAATTACGAGGTTACCATCGCACTTTCATGAAAAACGTGCGTACGATGTGTACTGCATGCTGTTACTAAGCTATGTGTCAACAAATGCGCGCCTAAATGTAAGGTGTGTAACGAAGGGAAAAGGGCTATTTTTGGTCGCGCTGAAATTTCAACTATCACTGGCAGATGACAGCTATAGACGGGTTGATGCTAAATGATACTGGCTTAGTGAATACCGTGAAAATGCTGGTTGTATCTGATGTCATCAGTGTTGTCAGCCGCGGCTCACTACTTGTGTACGCAGGCAAGCAAAACGCTATGAAAGTTCACATGTATCGTTATATGGAGAAATGAGTATGTACCGAGGTGGCACATAGTGTTAGATATCAAATAAGAATGAAAATGCAAAATCGATAAAATTTTGCCTAAAAGCTGGACAGCATCTATAACTAGACACTGATTTCTTTGACTCTTAGTCTTAGTTATTAGAAATATCTGTGTTTAATGAATTGAGTATTATAGGCACTATTCTGAGTAGATTTTTAGTTAGAGTATTGTTTTACCGTGGCGATTTCGTCGTACACAGAGAACATGTGAGGAGGCTCAGGAGCAGAAGGCTGTGCACAGAACCAAGGCAACAGAGCAGAAGCAGTTACTGTCAGACCTGTACGCCGACCGCAACCGTCCGTCGTGGGATTCGACAACCACCAACCAGCTCTACTTGGTCAGCAGAGACTTTGTTAATGAGTGGCGAAGATTTATCAAGTATGTGTGTCTGTCAGGAGAGAGGTGGCTGGTTTTCATTTGTATCACTAAGCAATGAAAGGGTATAGTAACTTATTTCATGCTGACCCTTGCAGAATGATCACAGTTGTTGTCAAATGATTTCTGTATCATCAAACGTGGGTTTATAAAATATAATAAGTTTGTAAAGTCATATAATGTAACACACAGTTGGAAGGCCTGTTATGCCTTCCAAAATCTCAGCAAGTTTTCAAATTTGTCTGAAATGGTTTTCGCCGAAGGCTTAATGGATATGACTTTGATCTGTAAAATGTGGGTTTTCTTGGCTGGAATCCATATTGAATGGACTGTTTCCGTGATCAATTTGAGATACTTGGCATTTTAGATTTTTTTTAAACACAAGGACTCTTCTTAGTCCGGTAAACGCATAGGTTGATCATTTGTGACTATGTTCGGTGACTCTCATTTTTTGCTTTTCAGGGAGCCATTAAGGTGGAATCCAGTATCAAGCTTATCCAATGAGCCACTGCTATGTGCACATGGAAAACTGCTGGTTCAGCCTGCAAGTTCAATGGCAGACGTCGATACTGACCTGTGCGTTTAAATTCTGTTTTGTACAGCTTTGTTTTGTTTTTTCAAAATTGATTCAGCACTAGAATAGTGTAGATCGAGCAATTGCTGTATAGAGATGGCTGTTAATAAGCAAGCATGCATGTACGTCCTATGAAGTGTTGACAGTATGTAAATCACTCACTTTGCTATACCTGGCATAGCAGAGAGAAAAGTCCAGACCATATCAGCATAGATACCATAGATTTATATTATGTTCTTATATCTCATAATCTGTCGAATGTTGATAGATATCCTGATTGAGTAATGATACAAGTTTGATGCGAAAACTCGTTACTGTGAAGGTTTCTGTACGTGTGGCCCAAGGAGTGGCAGACGGTCCGCCAGCAGTTTGCTTTTGATGTCGAGGTTGAGGTGTGCAGACTGGAAGACAAAGGAGGCCTTACGTTTTACACGAACCCAGGTAAGAAACTTAGTCACACCTGATGTGTAGTGCCGTGTATAGTGATTAGCCACTCACGAGTAGGCAATCGATTAGTTCTGATAAACTACATAAATAACACCTACTTAATGCTTCTGTTAACAACTAATCAATGTGATAAAAAAAGGGGGTAGTTCAGTACATCTGAATACCATAGAAATGGTCTAGGCCTCTGGAACACACGTGATTTCCGAGGTCAGCTGCACGTTATATAAACGGCAACTAATCTCCTGCTAAGCTGATCATTTTTAATCAACTAAAATTAATATGCTGCTGCTGTTTGCAGATGTTTGTGACGAGTGTAGGATGGCACGACAGCAGCAACTCATGCAGGAGAAGTGTGACTTTGTCAATGAGCGCATTTACATCCGCCGGTTGACCTCTGACCATGAAGAGGAGGAGACATTGGGTACCGAATATCAGGTGATGTGACAAACTGAGGAGGCAGGAGTAGGAGGAGGATAACATGTACATCAATATCTAGGCTGACTACATCTATCTATATCTTTCTAAGTATATATATATATATATCTATACTGCATTCTGAGGCCAAAAAATATATATATCATGCTTGCGGTCCCCCGCCCGACCATGAGAAAGTGCCGGTCCTAAACATTTTATTGTTGAACTTTACATGATGATAACTAGTGGTGTAACGGTTAAACGCGCGTGGTTAACCGAAAACCGCGGTTTTTGCGCCACCATTCGGATATTCGAACCGTCGTTCCGTTTTCGGCTCGGTTTCGGTTCCACATTTTATATATACCCGATATATACGCTTTTGAGATACGCGCACTGCGATTGGCTGGTCGTAAACTCTCGGCCAATCAGTGAGCAGATAACATTGATAGACCACTTGCTACATGCCACAAGAAGGTCAACATGTTCGTTTTGTCTGCAAACTTATGTTGATCCGCCGGCCTCCTACAGATCTATGGAAAATATCCCTTGTTGTCAAACTTGGCAAAGCAGTAGTGGTGTGTAACCGCTACTTCTGTGGCCAGTTAAAGAATATTCTCTACCGCAATAGATCTAGTC